GCGGTGTACAAGTATATATAGAACGAGATTAAGGTAACCAAAGCCCATGAATAAGATTAGAGTTGTGTAGAAGCATCTCGAAAGTGTAGATTGCCGATAAGCAAAATGGCTGAGTCAATCAAATGATGATAGTCATGCTTAATAATAAACTCTAAATTCTGGGATACAGATTGCGTCTTTATCATACGCGTCGTTGACGACCAGATGCACACTGTTTCATCTTTTCACCGAAAAAGGCACAAGCTATAAGCAACGAAAGAAGCAAGAGATTACGCGTGATAAAATTATTAATGTGCTAATAATTGATGTGACAATAATAAATAATAATGACTGTTACAATATTATATAATATTTGATGTTGGCAGTAATCATTATATGCATTCTCTTGGCATATACAATAACCGGCGTATAATACTTATAAAGTAACGTGTGCTTGTGCGAGTGCATATGCTCAAATAAACATCTCCTGGCTCGGAGTTTTACTTTTTTGCAGATCTATTTTTTCTCTCGAACATTCCGTTTAGCATTTAATTGGTTTCATGTATTTGTTTCTCTATTACTAACTTGGTTTGGTTATTGAATACTGTTTACGTTCATGCTCAGTTGTATTGATTTCTGATACTAATATTAAATTTCTAATTGCTCAATGGTTGTTTTTTTGTTTTTGCTCTCTTTATGCTTTTTTTTTTTGTTTTGTTTCCCCTTTGGTTGTACGGCTGAATCATGAGTTTCTTATTAAAGTTATGATACTGCTGATCTTTGTCAGGTTTACTAGCTTATGTCCTCGTTTCTTTCCTTTAATTGTCAAATAAATTTCTTATTAAATTTTAATGACTTTTATATTTGCCTTGTTTGTCCATTTGTCTGTCTACCAGCTTTGTTATAATTTGCTGCAATTCGTTGGTTTCTTCTTTGCCAAATCTTTTTTCTATTTTCCAGCTCTCGGATAGTAAATTGTACTGCTATTACTTGTTCTCTAAATTCTCTCAATATGTAATCATTCAGAGGCATGTTTAGTCGACTTGCTATAATCACTGACCAACACAGATTCATTGGTTGCTGTACATCTTTTGTCATTGCAATATTATTCCTTAATTGATCAATCTCTCTTATCTTGTAAATCATGCTTTACTAAGGTTACTCAGCTTAGGATACGCCAATCACTCTTACCTTCGAGGTGTTACTAGTTTAATCTTAGCACCAATGTGTCGAGCATTACGGATTATTCTTTCAAAGATGCAGCATTGTCTGGATTCTCGCATGGAAACAACGAAATACATTACTGTATGCTCATTCGCTCCTGAAGGACAAAGTTACGTCGTCCAGCTAGTCCAATTTTATTATTTCCTTTCCGATATCCTCCGTCACAATGTTTTGTTTTGCTTTTACTTTCCTGTGACTAAGAACACATTGCACGAAATCATTCGAATGCTAAGTTTCTTGGCCAAAGGTACGGAAAAATGAACAAAGTCGACCAAGGTACTGTCAACATGAATTGTAACCTTTACTAACAAATCGAGTCCCTAAATTGTAATATTGTGAATTTCGGCATCTATAAAGAAACGATAACGGATACGTAGATTGACAAGGACAAATTAGCGTTTCAGAAAATCGAGGAAATTAAGAGGAAATTCAATCTTTTTACTCTAACATCCGAAAGGTACTTGGCTAAGTTCCCGGATAACAGCATACGTTTCACAACATGCATTGATGTTGCCACAAATGTACTCGGTTCGTAAGACAGAATAATACTTATCGAATAAGAAAAAACCGAATAATTTCCTGTATAGGAGGTTATCGGTATTGGCCAAGTTTTTTGGGGCAATTCGCATTTGTGTGTGCTCTTCAAGTTGCACCAGCTTTAGCGGGTCTCCATAGTTGGGCGAACAAACGTTGTAGCAAATATTAGTACTATTTCAAGTTGTTGTGATCAATGAGGAGTGAGGGAAGACACCATTATTTACATGTATTGTCAAGGCTAGCTTGATACAACGAAAAAAAAATAAAAATCTATATATTAATATATTAATGTATACGTATATATATTATACATTTATATCTTCTTCTCTTTTGGGTTATAACATACTGTCTTTATTTTTTTCTCGGCTTCTTTATCCTTCTAATTATCCATAATAAATTTTCGGTGCGACACTATTACAGAAAGAATAAAAATTTTTTACAGCTAAAAATAACAAACAAATTGGCGTAAGCTAGTCAAGGTTACATGCAAGATAACCCATCCTTTCAAATAAGTACATCTCCTGCCCTAATCAAACTATTCTCCCACCGAAACACGTGTGCTCGGATGTTTTACTTGTTGAGGTGCAAAGGTAACTCGGCTTTTTCAACTCCCTTGCCCACGACTCTAAATATATGGTTAAATGGAGTTCTCGGTTGTGTGCAAGTTCTTTGTGTCGATTCAGAATTCCTTACGACGGTTGCCCAAAGAGTTTATCAATGGAGTCGCCTAGATCTTTGGCGGGCATCTGCTTTGCCATTGCGAGCCGTAGCACAAGGACTTGCTTCCGTGCGTGTTCTACAAGTATTCGACCAAAGGGCAAAGGGATTGGATTGGATTGGCAAACACACCAAACCCCCCTGAAACTAGTATACGCAATGCTACAAGTTGTATAATAAACACGCACGTAGCTAACAGACGATTTGTAAAGTTGTGTGTTCCGCATCTTTTTTTTCATTGTTAATACAAAAATTCTATTTTCTCACAGCCCCTTTGATTCTCTTCCATCTCATTTGTCGCTATTAATGTGTGACTCAGGTTGGTAACTCCGACGTGATATGCATCAAAACGAATTAGAATTAATGTTAGTTAATCATTAACCTATTTCACACCGTACGACCGTATATTATCTCCACTTATTCTATTTTTATGCTACAAGGAATAATTAATATTAATCATTGTCAGTTTCGACTAGATTTATTCGTCATTTAAACAGGGGATTGTCTTGGTCGAACAAGGACTTTGCCGCTTAGTGGCTTTGTCTTTGTATGATGATCAGCCAATAGCCGGCATTGTAAACAAAATTAAATGGAGAAATGAACACAATTCAATGTATACAATATACAATATACAATACACAATGTAACTACAATACACAATGTACAATACACAATATACAATACACAATACATAAAATATACCATATATTACCTGGGATATGGTAGTATGTCTAAAGCGTTGAACGTTAACATGACATGAACGCTCCTTCAACATCAGAACACCAGAACATCAGAACATCAGAACATCAGAACATCTAATGCCTGCTGCTTGGCTTGGGATGTGCCAGACAGGTTTCTTGCTTAATGGCCAAATCCTACTTAATCTCAATGCATAATCGGTGCATGTGACGACCTGGCACTGTAATTATCACCGGTGCTATCACTGTCACCTCATTTATCACCATATAAGCATATGGTTGAATGGCAGGCATCTGTACAACGAAATGTCTATATGGCGTATCACTCTTCTATGCTCTGTCTTACGTTTTAAGGGCAATCTTAGTATTAGCATTAATCTTCTGAACGATATCTCAAGGTGCACATTCTCCGACCACACCGACATTGACACGCGATCAATAGTGAAACTCGACAAAGGCTGGAATATGCAAGCATTTAACGTCTAGGTCGATAGAAATATCGATAACGAAGAATTCGAAACGCTTGATCCGCCCAGTTGAACGTATTGGGCGTATTCTGAATGACTCTGGCGTTATGCTAAAATCAGAGGTAAAACATATATATTCAAGAGAAGTGAATGCAAAACTTGGCCCAACATCCAATAGGATTTCGGCTAATTCCAGCAAATGGCATGCATGCAAGAACGAAACAAGAATGACATCACTCATAACAATACTACGTTCAATGTGCAGTTCCTGTTAAGTAAATAAAGTCTGCAAAATGACAGCTCGACATCACAATATGAAAATTACTTGCAGCCAAATCATTGAGAAACAGCGGGAATGTTTTGCATATGTTATATTACCTCGTTACTTTTTTGGTACAAAGGCGCTTAGAATACACTGTTTGTTTGTACAATCGACATGAATCTGGATTGTTTGATTAACCTATTATGACATAATCTACTAATGAAAAACGATTATTCATCCACCATCGTTCATGGTTCTCTAACAAACGGCTAGACCGCTAGACAGACAAGGCCAAAATAGAAAGAATAATTCACAATCAATACGAAATATAAATTTCATCTCATTTGGGGTATAGTATTTTACTTTTATAGCTGACAGGAGAATGTATTTCAAAGGTTTCCTCACTTTATACAACAACAGTGCTCCCTCCCCCTCTCTTCCTTTCCCCTTTCCCCCCTCTCCCCCACCTTCTCTCCCCTTCATCTACGACTTGAGCTGATAGTTTGCAAAGTTTCGACTCTTTCAAGTAAACTGGCTGCCCGGGATTGGCCGGATTCGGCCGAAATATTACACAAATCGTGTGTTGTTTAAAAAAGGGTTTGGGACTTCTTTGTCTTGGATTTTTCTATCGAACAAAAGTAATACGTTCCCTCTCACTATCGTCTGAAACGTCATTCATTGTATTTTCCTTGTGTCAAATCCTTGTCTTACAGTTCAATTTACAACCATGTGGTTTATTCATACATACATACATATAAATAAATACTAACGCGAGGATGTTTGTACTCACATTCATTGTTCACCCAAATTGACTACATAATTTGTATTCGCAAACTTGTCATAAGAAAAAAGCGTAAACTTAGCTAAAAAACTTGTGTATGATATTTGAAAAATATGTTAACCTTAATTTGGTGAGGTAGTATGAAGACTTAATTTTGGGGAGAACATATAGACGTTTGAAAAAAAAAAGAGAAGGAAATGAAAACTGTACAGGTCAGATCGAGCATGCCGCTGTTGTTTTTGGTTTTTTTTTCTAGGATAGAAGAGTTTCTCGTCTTTCTGCATAGATCATGCAAGCGTTCGATTAATCTCAAGGAGCATGTGTAACTAGCTTCCTTAGTTGATGTGGCTTTCCTCTTCATCATCGATATCACTCATGTGATCACCACTCCTTTCACTTACGTTCTCACAGATGCTCTGTATAATACGTCCACGTTTATTGTCCGTATCATAACTCTTTCCTTCATTCCCACTTTCACACCTGCCATTATCTGTTTCGCTTCCACCCTCTGTTCTAGTTATTAGACATCTAGGGCATACCAGCAATGCTTTGTACCTAGTACAGACAGCCATCGCTTCAGCATCAAGGCCAAGGATACGAACATTCTCGGCGATCAGCGCATAGTTTTTTGGTGTGAATGCGTTACGAAGCCAGCGTTCGTCATTACCCGTGTAAATCTAAAGGATATAAAGAAAGCGAGATCAGTCTATGGTATGGGAGATGATGATGATGACGATGATGATGACGACGACAATGATGACGACGACGACAAGATAACGGTGATGGCATATCATTACTCACCCAATATAAGAGCTCATCGATGCGACTCCTACTCGGCTCATGCACATTTACAAGCACTCTTAACCAGCGCCCATTTTCGTCACTCACGTATTCACCTCGCGGGTCATCCACTCCATGTTCGTCGTAGTGGTTAGCAAAGAAATCCCGGAACCATTGAGATCTTGTCGAGAGAAATAGCTCATGACCCCAGAATTCATAAGCGCCAAGAGAGACCGTTGATAATGAGCTATACGAGCGTTTGCGAGAAGTAACCGGTGAGGAATTTGTCGAGTCTTTTGATATTTTTTTCCCTTCTGCGCCATTTCTTTTGCCATTTCCTTGTGTCAGATCAACAAAAGATATTTTACAAGATGCGGAACTAGAACAATTGAAATGGCCGGGGCCGAAGGATTTTAGTCTCCCTTCTAGATAACGATGTGGTATTCTAAGAGATAACCCGTTTAGCTGCACGAACAAGTCCATCTGATGATTTAGGACGGGTAATTGGGGAGTTATGATTTTTGACGGCATTTTTGTTGTTGTGAGTTAACTGTGTGTAAGCTTTTCGAAGAGAGAGAGAGAGGAGTGGTGGGGGTCGGGGGGGCCAGTGGAGGGAAAAGTGGAATGTGGAATGGATGAGCTGTCTTTTGATCTTTGAATGGAGTGTATGGGATATCGTCTTTTTTTTTCTCTTTTTTTTTTTTGGGTAGGCTTACGATCAACGGCCTATGTATAATAACGATATTATATAATGAGGAACCACTCCCGTTAATATTTGGTTTGGTCCTCGATAATAATGATCAACTCCAAATAGGGGTGTCTAAAAAACAGCTCTATATTTATATTTATATTTATGTGTAATATTTCGACGGGAGACTCGATGGGTTGGTTGTTGGTGAGCGGTGGTGTCTTTATATAATTTTTGGATTGTTGATAAGCTAACAACAACTTGTTGTCCGAGTTGGATATGATTTGCTGATTTTATGCTTTGTATAATGATAAAGTTTGTGGAGTACAAGGCAATAATCACTGAAGGGGATGATAAAGAATGTGAGTATGAAGAGGATTGGACGGGACGTATGAGAGGGAATGTGTAGAATTAAAAGGGTGGGGTAGTTGGAAAGGGGAGGGAAGCGATATAAGGCACGCTTGGTGATAGTAGAGGGAGAGTGAGGGGAGGAGGGATCGTGTCGATGTGGGTGGTTGTGTGGGGGGTGGGGTTGTGGAGGGGAAGGATAGCGATAGTAATAGTATAGTAAATAGGGTTAAAGTATATATGTGATAAAGTGTGTGATTAACTTAGTATATGTGATATAAAATAATATATACTCGTATTGTAACAGTATATATACTTTATAATATCTGATATACCTAGCTGTATTCACTGAGGCAAATGTTGTACAACTTAGTCAGTTTTTGAAAGAGTGAACGTCGACTGAAAAAAGAAACCAAAAAACGGGGAAGTTCTCAACAACGAGGTCAAGAAGATATTTTTTGGATGGACCCCAGGCTAACGCAGACTATTTATAATCAGGCAGTAAGTCTCCGATTATTAGTATCGATTCTAATAACCGTTCGATATATTAACTACGCGCCAATGTTTTGTTTAAAGTTATGTGTACGTAGCAGCACAGCTTCATAATGGTCTGCCATTCCCATAGTCGGCAGACAAGATTAAATTATGTTATTGCGCGATGTAATATAATTTGTGGCCATAATAGTGTAGGTATGTATTATATATTAATAATTATGTACTATCAATAATGACTTGTAATACTTAGTCTCATATACTGCATAATAAACCCTTCAAAGTACAATATAGCTAGTATATTATAACAACGATTGTATGTGTGTCCTCCATATATATCCATGTGATAAGTGGAAGTAAACAATCTAACTCTTAATAAATATATGAACCCCTAAACATTCTAACTCTTTCTTCGGTACGTGCGTCTAGTGATCATTCGATGGATTGCCCATTCGACCGTTAGCGATTGTAGATTGTTCATATGATCATTGATTTGCCAAAATCAAAAGGATATGGGGCATCTATGACGAATGATTGACCTAAATACCCGAATATAAACAGGTATACGTGAGAGAAATGAGAGCAAGTATAAAACGTTCGGAGTAGTAGAACGGGAAATTAGCCGTAATGATGGCTGCTGCTGCTGCTATTATTATTGTTGTTATTGCCGCTGGTGCTGCCGTTGCTATTATTATTGCTGCCGTTATTTCCGTTGTTTGCGATGCCGGCGATTACAACGTTAATATTAGTTCTCACATGTATAAACTCGGTTATTGCAAAGTGTAATAATATAAGGACCGTAATTAATTAGTACGCACTTAATCTCACCAATATGTACGCTTACTATGCTTCTTCCTTCCATTTGGTTTGTCCCATTCGTTTGTTAAATCCAACTTTATGGAATGCAGTTTATCTGTTTCTAATGTCGTGGTATTATTTACTTCATCTTTGTTCCCCGAATATTCTGTTAAACTATATCAACAATGGCGCTATTGCATGCCCTATGGGGCAAATTGATTTGCAGGCGTGCACACATGAAGGATAAATGTATTACGGCGTATGGAGAGAGAGAAAAAGAAAGGGCGGGGTAGAACGGAGTGGAGCGAACTAGAAGAAAGATGTGCACAATCAGCGTATTGTGTGATATCTTGTTCACTAAACCGACTGACTATTGTGCGTCGAGCTGGTTTGGGCTTCTATGACCTAGCATGTCGTCATCTTATTGCATACATTGGCATATCAGTCAGTGATATCATTTATCAATTTTTACTCCTGTCATGATTTGCTGTCATGCTGTCGTATAATATGCAGTCCACTTCAATTCCATGGAAATAGCTATTGTTCCAGAACATAAGGAACTTCTACATGAGACGTCATATTCGTCTCTATTTGTGTCTGTCCCTTTTTCTTTCTTCTTTCGTGCTTTTTTTGTTTCCTTCTTCTTTGCCTCTTTCACATCTCACACTGTCATCCACCCCTCGACTGCTTTCTCTCGTCCACATTCTTTCTCTGTTTGTTCTCTTTCACTCATAATTGCGCTTCATCCGTCCATTGTCGAAAAGTATATTAGCATATGTGCAGAATTATGCAATTAATGCATAACTAATGTATGAGATGGCGGGAAGAACACATTTAGCATTGTGATTGGGCCTGAAATAGAAGTAAATAAATGGGGAACGACTGAACATTAGTTTTATTTGTTTAATTCATTCTCTAATAACCAAGATAACTGGCGCAGGGACACTGCGGTGTCATCGTTACACCATGCGGCATCAAAAAGTTGATCTCTTTGTACACAATCACTTGACATCATACAAGAGAAGCAAATGCGTGCACCAATTGATATCCAAAACTAGAATAGTTGGTGTTAGTCTTCTTGGGGGCTGGTTCTTGCAAATAGTCGGATTGGTCATTCATGACGTCATTAGATAATGCAAATACACTTTACAACAAAGGGAACATGTGACTTCTCCAAGATGTCTAGATCCCAACTTTTCGCGTACCTATTAGAAATTCCAGGATTGCTATTCTTGGTACGATTACAAACCCGGTATACTGCTACAAGCTGTCTATGATACTAACACCGCTTTCCATTTCAAAAAAGCTCGTTCCTGAATTAACATGCACAAACCTAAGCGTATAGTAAGAATGAAATGTTATCCGCAAGTCGTAAATTGAGATTAACCAATGTTACATCCATATCTTGGCTTGCGATCAACATTCGCGATTTTGAATGACAACCTTCTCAGATCGATTACACCCTGGATCTTGGCGTAATCGAACCTATTCAGTCGGCGACGGAGGCAATAAATATAAAACGAGAAGCAAATGACAAGTTGTCTTTAATAACATACGGATTAATCGTAAATTCCTTTTCTCGATAAGATCAGTTTGTTCATTGATCAAATAATTGCTTTATTCTTTGATGAATATCTCGGTGCTGAGCCTGCAGAAGAGGGATTTACATTGGAAATCGAATATTATTTGGAACGAAATGCAACGAAACACGTTGTTTGTGATAGATACAGTTATAACGTCGTTGCTTTTGTTTCTGCAGTCCAAACATTTCGGCGTCGCTCCATCATTCTTGTTACTCACCCATGGCTGGTGACTGGCAGATATAAAAAAGTTACTTTCTTACTGGCCGTGCGAGTCTTCATGACGACTACGATAGATTACAGCTCTCCACCTTGACCGAACCGCCATGGATTGAATTTGCGCCAGGTGATTTGAGAAACTCTCGGTTAAAGGAACGAAAGCCGAGCGAGTATGATCCCGTGACCTTTGCATACCAGCGTGCCAAACAATCGATCCTTGCTACACTTTTATCCGATTTAGAATGTTTATCGACTAGGACTAGCAACAAGTAGAAGTACAACCGTCAATAGACTTGAGGTTTACATCTGTTTTTGATAACCTGCCAACAACGGCTCACTTTTTACAAAAGCGAGACTCTGAATCGTCAGTAAATTTAATGACGACTGTAGTGTCTTAAGAAAAGCGTGTGTTTTATGCCAATAACAATGAAAATACCCGATACTTATTTCCTATAATAACGTACAAAAAGAACGAGGTGTGGGACACAGTCGTAATTTATTTAATTCCATAAATTTTTATATGAATAATAATAATAAACTAACCACTTACTTTAGATGAAATGTTTAATATAACGTGACATGACGAGCAGAATAACGAATTAGTACAAAAAGAAGAGTGGAATCTGCATCCATGAAACATATACCATAGCTTGTTATTATGCCCAACCAAATTCAAACCGTGATTGCGGAAATACTGAATATTGTCGTTTACTTTAAGTAAATAAATTTCTTTTTAAGTAATATCTTAAAAGTAAAACTGTGCAATAATTTTCATATGTGCCAGAGCAAAAAATTGGGTTCTTTACTAATACTAATTTATTATTCTGTTCATTATGAACACTTTAGTTGTTGTTGTTGTTGTTGTTGTTGTTGTTGTTGTTGTTGTTGTTGTTGTTGTTGTTGTTGTTGTTGTTGTTGTTGT